TAACCCGGTCTGTCAAACCCCAGGTTGTCGACGTGGAAACCTTAACTCGGTCTGTCAAACCCCAGCTTGTCGACGTGGAAACCTTAACCCGGTCTGTCAAACCACAGGTTGTCGACGTGGAAACCTTAACTCGGTCTGTCAAACCCCATCCTGTCGACGTGGAAACCTTAACCCGGTCTGTCAAACCCTTTCAGCTTGGCGACGTGGAAACCTTACCCAAGATGTCAAACCCTCTCAGCTTGTCGACATGGAAACCCTAACCCGTTCTGTCAAACCCTCTCAGCTTGTCGACGTAGAAATCTTAACCCGGTCTGTCAAACCCTTTCAGCTTGTCGACGTGAAAACATTAAACCCGGTCTGTCAAACCCTTTCAGCTTGTCGACGTGGAAACCTTAACCCAGTATGTCAAACCCTCTCAGCTTATCGACGTGGAAACCTTAACCCAGTCTGTCAAACCCTTTCAGCTTGCCGACGTGGAAACCTTAACCCGGTCTGTCAAACCTTCCAGTTTGTCGACGTAGAAACCTTATCTCGGTCTGTCAAACCCTTCCAGCTTGTCGGCGTGAAAACCTTAACCTGGTCTGTCAAACCCCAGGACAACTGTTCAGGATGTCTGAGCGTCCAGTAACAGATTCATCTCTACAATTCTGTCCATACATGTTTGACATCAGGAATGATTCGGCCTGTTCGCCTGTTCTCATGGTTTGTCAGTGTGCACCTTTGGTGACTTACATAACTTGTAGGTTCAAGGGTCATGGTGTGATATTTATAAATGTTATTGACACCAATGAAATGGCTGATGTAACTGGCAGGTTTGTGGTAGCGACACACATTGCTCGGCTGGCATCCAACGGTGAACAACGAATCTGCACAAATTAATCACAGTGGTCGCTTTAGATGCAGATAATTATTGGAAACAAATCCTACTGGTTGATGCATAAGGAGAAGCAGCAAACGCAAATCTGGCGGTTGGATAACGACGCTGAACAAGCAAACAAAATGTGCCCTTTATTGGGATAAAACTGTACATAGAAAATATTACTTTAAGTTGATGCAATTAAACTGCAGTATTTGATGAATCAAATAGTGATTGCTCACTTCTGGATAAAGCGTCCACAAATATTTCTGATGAAGAAAGTGGCCATACAGACTAGCTCTATTGGTCCACTCATTAACAAGTTAGACACCTATTGAAATTCCACTTGTCCATGCATAAATGCACAAAGCAGTTAACTGTGAGGCTGACACCTCAATAGAAACACGTAGAGATAAGACGATGGATAAACGATGAGGACATCAAACGAAGTTCAAACAGCAGCACAGGGAGGAGAACTTATTGGCAAACTCGTCCTCGTCTGTGTCGTCTTTGTGAGCCTCGGCTGCTAGCTCTGCTGGTGTCTTCTTCTTGCGCCCCACTCGTCCTTCCGTCATCAGGTCTGACTCCTCCTCTTGTCTTTCCTCTTTCTTCTTCAAGCCATACTGAAATATCAGAGATTGACTGTTTATGCTCAATGAATACAAACACAAGTCGATCAGACGATTCTATACCCACCAACACAAAACCAGCCGATACTCTTCTCTTATCGTATTAAGTATGCTGGCAATGTACAAGGTCTAACATTGAAACAAACAGTCAGCTTTTAATATGGCTAAGACAAAAATGCATTTATGAAACAAAGCATAGAATCCAAACAGGCAACCTTCCTCTATGATCTAGTAATTGTTTATCGCCGCCCGATAAGCAGACAACAAACAAGCCGACATTTTGTTAACCTAGTCAGAGGTGCATTGTTACGCAATAGCGTGGAGCCAAAAGTAAAAGTGAAGTAACAATCCCTTTTCACGCTATTAGGCACATTTGGGCATATGGGAAGAGCACCCATATTTTTACAGACCAACTGGCACTAGGTGGGTAATGTGGTCAGCATTACGCCGGCCGTCTTTACTTTACTATAACATAAATTCTGGTACCCATTTTAGGCTGGGTCGACCTGCGACGCCCCATACCATGACATAAATCCACGCAGCTAGCGGTGGGTTTCGATCGCGGTATGTTGGAATTACGAGTCGGACTCGCAACGCCTAAGCCACGGACGCCGCGTGGAACCAAAAGCTAACATTAAATTCTGATTAAAACTTAGACAAAGTGCCAATGAGACAGTTGAACTGATCAGACAATTTTATGGGAAAAAAATGTTTATCTCACGCACAGATTTTCAGGTGGTATTCACGATTCCAAAGTGGCGTAAAAATGATTACTAATGCACCTAAACCTGGACACCGAATTTGTGTTCGTAATGAAGAACTCATTGCAAAAGTCAGAGAACGGATACATGAAGATCGTTGTTAGACTAAGAGGATGATGGCAGATGAATCTGGTGTTAAAAGAGAGACCCTTCGTAACATTTTAGTGGAAGATCTGGGCAAGAAAAAAGTTGCTTGCCGGTTTGTGCAACAATTGTTGTCTGATGACCAAAAACATCAGCATGCTGAGTACACAAAATACATCAGGAAAACGTGTCACAGAAATAAACATGTCTTAAATTTAATTGTAGCAGAGCATAAAACAGGGATTTTCAGCTATGATCCCACAACTAAAAGTTAAAGTACTCAGTGGAAGTCATCATCATCACCAAAAGGCAAAAAAATCCGTCTATAAAAGTCGAAAATGACAATGTTGGTGTGCTTGTGCGACAGCAAAGGAGTTATGTAAAGTATGTATTCCAGATTGACAGGTTGTCACAGCCGCAGTGTATTTCAGTATTTTAAAACGTCTAATGAGAAGGATTCTCCTAGTTCAATCCGAGTATTCAGCACCTGGCAGTTTTGTCCTTCTTCATGACAATGTACCGGCTCACCGGGTGGTAGCTGCACAGGAAAATGTTGGCCCTAAAACAAGTGTGTTCTTTCAACCATCTGCCTTATTCCCCTGTAATTATTTTCCCAAAATTCAAGTTATCATCGAAAGGACGCCTCTTTGGCGATACTGTTGACCAGTTTTGTGTGCTTCATTCCATATTGATCTAACTGCTGTAACCCACCTGACCAGTTACAGCGAAATATGCCTAGCAATAAATTGTGCACTACATTGTTTGTGTCCTTATTGTTTAGATACGGATGACATTTAAAGGGTTGGCACATCGACTTCAAGGACCATGATAACAAAAGAACTACAGAGGTTGTTCCAGTGATTGTTAGATCGTGCCATGCGCTGCACCAATGCACAAGGGGCTTTTTTTAAATCAGATACAGGTTATATCTTCAACTGTTGATTATTTTAATTGTTATGGAATTTGTCTCATTACTAAATTGTAGGACCTTGTACGTTAAATCATCGGGCACAGATAGCACAACTGCCAATGAGCTTTACACACATGTACCAACACACCTACGTGCGCGAACACACACAACAATAATCACCTACACAAACACTCACCAGAGAACAGAGCTACTATACTTTGTACCGACAATTCCCTCACCCCCAACGTACACACGCTCACAGACAATCGCGCGCGCACACACACACATACATATTGTAGCTATTTCCACAGCTCGCCTCATCTGTTGTGCTCTGCCGCCGTGACAGATGGACATCTAAATGTAACTTCGCCAGCCACCCCTTGTCTTTTCCCCCCGGAAATAAAGATTCCGTTTTCGCGCCGTGAGGTGATCAGTTTGACCAGTGGCCAGTCTCCGCACAAAAGCCCACTTCCCTGGAGACCAGCTCGTCTGCCGTCGACTTGAGGTCAAGATTGCAGCATATATTAGTGGTAGATAAAAACGTTAATTTGTCGGTTTCTGCAGACAATGAGTGATGAGCTACCTTATTAAATTTTTGGCTCCTTACTCTGTGTGCTGTAGTTCTTACAGCAATATCACAAATACTCGCTATTTGTAGTTCTTACAGCAAAATTACAAACACTCACCAGGTGTAGTTCTTACAGCAACATTACAAACACTCGCTATTTGTATTTCTTACAGCAAGATTACAAACACTCCCTAGGTGTAGTTCTTACAGCAAAATCACAAACACTCCCTAGGTGTAGTTCTTACAGCAAGATTACAAACACTTGCTAGTTGTAGTTCTTACAGCAAGATTACACATACTCGCTAGGTGTAGTTCTTACAGTAAGATTAAAAACACTCCCTATGTGTAGTTCTTACAGCAATATCACAAACACTCGCTAGTTGTAGTTCTTACAGTAAGATTACAAACACTCCCTAGGTGTAGTTCTTAGAGCAAGATTACAAACACTCCCTACGTGTAGTCCTTACAGCAAGATCACAAACACTCGCTAGGTGTAGCTCTTACAGCAAGATTACAAACGCTCCCTTGGTGTAGTTCTTACAGCAAGATCACAAACACTCGCTAGGTGTAGCTCTTACAGCGAGATCACAAACACTCGCTAGGTGTAGTTCTTACAGCACGATCACAAACACTCGCTAAGTGTAGTTCTTACAGCAAGATCACAAACACTCGCTAGGTGTAGTTCTTACAGCGAGATCACTGTCACGAGACGACCTCAGTGGTTCCAGAAGTTAAGTACTTGTAATAAGTTTTTCTGGTTTAAGACACAGAGACTATGCCCTTAAACCAAATGTTACTTTAAACCGCACGGATTTAATTGTTACCAGTCCTTCTCCGAGACAAAACCACTGCGCTTGGTTTAAAAGTACATAACACTACCTAATACAGCCCGCTGGTTCAGACTAGTGGATGTTATGTTTGATTCTCATGCCAGTGTCAGAATGTTATCTCCTGACCACAGACTGTAGAGGCCAGCGAAAGGGGAACTAATTAGCACACCTGAGATTAGCTCCCCTGAACCCGACTGTAGTGTCATAAAGGTTACCTAACACAGACTGAGTGGACTCTGGACATTGTGGCGACGAGAGGTTGAAGTTTAACACGTCAGTGTAATTCTCGGGAGAACAGGTGTCTGCCAATTAAGTTGTCCAAACATCGGTCAAGGCCGTTCACCTTGAGTGATAGGCCACTTGATAGCTAGATTGATCTGCTAGGTACCTCAGAGGCGTGGCTTAGGTCATCTCCTTGAGGGTTGGGTAGAACCAAGTAAAGGGAGGAGTTGAACCTTTGAGACAGATAGATAGTATACTTCGAGCCTTTGGAATTCCCGTCACATCGCTGCTAGCAAGCAACAAACACAGGTCGACGTAAAGGTAATTTTACGGTCGGATTCTGGTTTGGCGATTGATGGAAAGTTCCCAGGTAAATATTAATTTTAATCTTGTATACATAGGTTAGGGAGTTAAGCTTAGTCTATACTACCTTTTCCTAATTTGTCTGCACATTCTGCTTGAAATAGTTCTTTGTGAGTATTCAGTATCTCAAGTTAGGGAACTGCTAAACTATTTCTATTTCTTGTATGTTTGTGTCACATATTTTTCAGTGTAAGTTTTCAGGTGTATAAAATAAGATGTGAACAATGACATTTGCTATAATGAAATGTACTTATATTGTTTACCTGATCAACCCAAAACATGTGCTTGGATTGTGGGAAATCATGCCCATATGCGCAGAGTTTTAATAGCTCAGCATGTGCACTGGAAAGACAATATTCCAGACAACATGCACATATAACATGGTGGGAGTTCTCAGCACATAACCTGCTCCACGTGTTGATGTAAAAACAATGTTTTGAAGTCTGAGTGAAGACGGACAACAAACTTAGAAAGTCAACTATCATGACATAGCATGAGAAGGAAGGCAGGATATGTGACGTCCATGTAAGACAAAAGACCTTCAGACTAGACTGGAGAGAATGTGGAATATGAGGAGGAGTGATGGGATATATTTGATTATTATATGTTATATTAATTGATACATGTATTCTTAGTGTAAGTCAAGATACTACACGTATGTGTTTGTTTCCATGATTACAGCGCCCATGTGACGATCAGTCCATGAACGAGACTACACTGTGTTAGACTCGGCCACTTGGGAATGAGTTGGAGAACGAGGTGGGGATGAAGTGGAGACTAAGCTGAAACAGGCAGAAAACAAGCAGGGAAGAACCTAGAAAAGGAGGAAGAGCTTGACAGTGCTCACGGCTGTCAGAGATTCTATGATAACTAAGTTATGTCATAAATTGTTCATACGTTATCACCTTCATCACTCCATTCTAATCCCAGGTGCTGTTTTCTCGCTGAAGCTTATCACTATCATCAAATTAACCAGTCACTGTTTGTGCAAATCAACAAATTGGGAATTTCATTGTTAGTAAATAAAGCTGTATGTCAAGTTTTATACTACAGTGTCTGTTAAATTCCAAGTGTATTTAGTCTTACCTGTTTAACTAAACTGATAGATAGAATTACATTTGGTGGGTGCTCAAATAATATGATAATAATTCTTTAATTATTAATAATAATACCGGGAGAAGGTACGGCGGAGGAATCATTTGCCCTGTCTAATAATTCATTCAGCATAATGATATAGACATCTACAATTCCTTTCC